GACTAATTAACTATACTAAGTTAATACTTTTTGTTTACAAATTTTCATTCTTAAAAAGTGAATTTTTATTGAAGCGAAAATTTTTTACTGTTAATTTAGAGAAAAATAAACAAAAGACTTTTAAAATAAAAGAGAAAAATAAAGAGAATGAAATTCTCTAACACAGCCGCGTAAGTGTTCTCTTATAGCACTTTCTCACAAAGAAAGTTGTTTTTCTCTGATTTTTGCTTTAAATTTAACTGTAAACAAAAACAACCAGCCGTCCGCCATTTAATCGCAGGCATTACCAGCCGTCTTCCATATAATCGCACGCATTTTATTTGTTGCAAATTAATCGCAGCCATTTTATCGTAACTATGAATTTTATGGAACACCATTTAAGTCAATACAATTGAGCAGACCCAAACACAGGATCTAAGGGAGTATAAAAATATTGAGGGATTTTAGGGGAGAGGAAATAGCTGGCGACTTGGGTAGTAAGCGGCTTTTGTTGAACAGTTATAGATTTAAGTTTAATAATTCATAAGATAGGTTAAAAGTTCAAACACTCAGGGGCCAGCAAATGATTAGGGACATGGTAAGTTATTAAGTGAGGCGCAGATCAGGGCAAAACGATAAAAATGAAATCAAAAGAACAATTATAAGACAAATTCAACATGAAGATTTTGAGACGTCGGCCGCCGCGAGCGAAGCGAGCACGGCCGCCGCAAAGCACGGAAATCTTTCTGCAAAGAGATTCGAAGTTTTACCCAAATCTAAGCTTATCAGGATATCTAAGGGTTTCGCGAGAACAGATAGAGACAGGGACCGTAAAGCCAGACACAGGGTACGTAAAGACAGGGTCCGTAAAGCCAATAGGAAACTAATAACCACAATAGGTTTTTTCAAAGCTTTTTAAGAAAGTTAGAATAGACAACAAGGGATTTAGTATTAAGAGGGGTATCCCAGATTTGATGGGATTAGGAGGTATATCGAGGATTTGGCGAATAAAGCAATTATCGTAGTTGAGGCGGGCTAAATTGATATATGAGTCTTATGGGTTAGAGTCGTCCATTGAAGGATATAGTGGGATTAATAGAAGAGATCGGATCATACAAATATTTGATCAAATTTTAAATTTAATTTAACGAATATTTGTTTGATGAGCTTTCAAAGATATTTGATTCTTTCAAATATCAAATAATTAACAAATAATTTGATCAACCATTTTTTTGATGAATGTTTGAAAAATCAAATATTTGATCAAATATAAAATAATTTGAAAAATTATTTGATTTTCTTTTTTAACATGTAAGGATGGCATATTTTACTTATAACATCTATATGATAACCGAGATTTTTGCTCCAAGAAAATTTTTATCGTATCAGAACAGTTCAGTTGAGTCCACACGATTGAATTCACTTTGTATAGGAATTTAGAAGAGATTTTGGGGGATTAGAGGTAGATCGTTTTAGATGATTTGGGTTGATTAAGAGGAATTTTGGTGGATTAAGGAGAATATAGATGGATTTGCCGAACAAAATGTGCATCAGTGGTTTTGGGATTATTAGGAGAATATCAGGGCATTTTGTGGATTTCGACGGATTAAGAGAAATAACGGGTAATTTGGATGGATATCGTTGGATTTGAAGGGACTTTCGGATTGTGAGGGATATAGTCGATCATGGAATCGTTATCGTCGGATTTGGAAGGATATTGGTATTACAATGGATGTAGGGGCTTAGGATGGATATTGACGGCTTAGGAGAGGATTTTGGGATATAAGAGGATTTGTAGTGGATATCGAAGGATTTGGAGGGATATAGTTGGATTAAGAGTTTTTATCCCGATGCACCTTTTATCCATATATTACTTCACCTCTTAATGCTCCCATATCCCCTTATAACCCCTTAAGCCTTACAATTCCCTTATATCACGCCTAATACCTCAACATCCATTTTAAACCTCCTATATCATCTCCATATACAAATATCTCCGATATACTCTTAAATACCCCGTTCTACATATGTATATGTTATTTCAAATTTTTTAAAAAATTTGATATATGATCAAATATTTTACATTACTGATCAAATTTTTTCAAAAGTCAAATCATTTTCAAATTATTTTATCAAATATTTGATTCTGCCGTTTGTCCGATCTCTGATTAAAAGTTATTAAGTGTATTTATGATATTTATCCAAAAATATGTATCGGGGGATAAAGGAATTGAAAGGTGGTTTTGCGGGAATAAAGAATGATATCTATGGATCAGGGGTGTGCCTGTTTCGCGTTTCGCGTGTCGCTTTTTAAAATTTACTTACGCATTTCGCGTTCCACTCTAAATTTAATTTCGCCTTTCGCGTTTCGCTTTTTAAAATCCGTTTCGGCACACCCCTGCTATGGATCTGAGAATAATAAGATGATATCGGGGATTAAAGAGTGATATATGGGTTTCGGTGGTGAATATGATTTGTATCGAAAGGATTAAACGGCTTTTGGGGGAAAAAGTTATCGGATGATATGTGTGAATAAAGGGGTGAAATTCAAGATTTATGGTAATAAAAAGTTAAAGCAAAGGATTTAAGAGTTATAGCAAGTTGTGGATAAAGGGTGTATCTGGGACTTTGAGAAATACAGAGTTGGCGAATTAGGGATGGAATAGGAGAACAAGGTTATTAACAGGAATATTAGAGGTTTTGTGGGGATTTGAAAAAAACGGAGGATTTGAGTGATTAAGAGGTAAATCAGCGAATGTTGGGGATAAAAAGGCTCCCGGACAATGCGTCAGTGGTATTGCGTCAGTGGAAAATGCGTCAGTGGACAATCGATCAATATTGATATAAAGTGATAAAAGCGATGATATAGAGATAAAAATTCACTGATATCCCTTCAAATAGGCTGATCTGCATCTTAATCCTCCCAAACCCGAGATGCCGGCCTTAATCCCAACAAATCCCTCTATATCTTTTTAAACCCTAAAATCTCTTTTTAAATAATCTTAATCTGTTTATATCCATCTTTAGTCTCCTTATATTATTTTTATCCTTTTCATTAGTTTTAATCACTTTATATCAATACTGACCGATTGTCCACTGACGCATGCCCGGGCACGGATAAAAATGATACGGGGTTCTGGAAAATAGAGTTTTCTCCGTGTTTTTGATGAATATGTAATGAATAATATAGGAGCGAAAAAGGTATTTCGGAGGATTTTGGTTGATAAATGTTGATATATAGGATTTGGCGATGATTTATTGGAGGATTAGAAAAAATAGTAATATCAGGAATTTGGCTATTGAGGGGATTTTCTATTTAAAACATTAAAAGGTGTAGAAAGAGCGGTAGGACGCCGCGAAGCGGCGTCCTACCGCTCGTAAGAATGTAAATAAAATTCCTCTCCCCTACGCCCGCTCGCTCCCTCCCTCTCTCCCTCCCTTCCCATCCCCAATTAAAAATTTATTTTAGAAATTTAAATTTTTTAATAATTTTTAATTAATAAAAAATAATTTTTATGAAGAACTCTTAACTTTTTATCTTTACATCAAAACTTTTGTAATCCATTTTAATAGGTTTTTGGTAATGTTTATATCTATTTAAGTTAATAGATTTTATTCAAAATTTATTTTAAAAATATGTATAAACTAAATTCCCCGAAATATATAAAAATATATTTTATTTTAATGTTAAAAACAAAAGTGAATGTGAAACTGAATGAATAAATGGAAAAAGTTTCTTTTAAATAAATCGTGTGTCATCGTTAAAAAAAATAAAAAATAGAATATGAACATTCAAAAATTCTTTTTTCTTTGTCATATCGATGACAATGTACGTTTATATTCAAAAATCCTTTTTGGCTTTTAGTGCCAATTTTAGGTGTGTATTTCATTGTTTTTACTTGCCTATAAATCCTCACTTTAGTTGTAACCTATTCTTGCGATATAGTTATAATGAATTGAGCTCAAATCCGTTTTTATTTTTAAAAATCTTTTGTTTTCAGTGAGTTATTATCACTAGGGATGCGATTTAGATGGATTTCCATATTTTTTCCTGGCCTAGTTGTGCTTGAAACGAGAGAGAAATATATTCTTTATTAATTTAATTCAGCTGATATAACAATTCATTTACTATTTAAAAACAACCGATTTAGAATTGTAAAGCATATAGCTATTAATTTCCTAAGGCTGAGCAGTAGGCGGCGTGGTGTAATGGCTAACACATCAGTCCGGTCTACTGAAGATGCTGGTTCGCTCCCAGCCGCCGAATAACCTTTTGCACTAGCTAAAGGAGAGAAATAGCTATAGCCCAGCTGCTTTACTTAATTGTAGGACTCTAAGTCCTTTCCTAGTAAATATTGGGCTTGGAAAGACTACCCGAAGGAATTTGTTCGATTATATTTCCGTTCACATTATTTCAACAATCCATTAGCCTATTGTCCCTCCCACTTAAATGTTTATTTAAATGATTTGATCACAGTTATACGATTCAGTTGTATTAAATTATTATTTATTATGTGCTAGCTAGCGATAATAATATTGTCCACATTTCCTAGTTTGTGAATAAAGCGCTTTAATCCACTTTGGTGTGTTCGGTGTTAGGGAAGAGTCTAAGGGACTTGATCAACCACGAACTTGATCAACCACTCCCCTTGTATCCTATAATAACTGAGAAAGGGCTCGCTTTATAAACAGGACAGATGGTCACTCTAAACAGGCATAACTGGAAAAATATTTATAGTCTAAAGCAAAGAAGTTTGTTTGCCAAAGTCCCGCTATGACTGTCTCTGTCTTGAGAGAGAGATGCCACACGTGTTGAAACTTTTTTTAGTGTTAGGTAATTATTAATTATTATTATTATTTCAGCTTTTCATTCATAAATTCATTTATGTTTAAATGAAAACATATATTTATTTATTATTTATATCGCTATTATTATTTACATTTGTAATTATTCCTATAAAATGCGCATCACGTAAGGATGATTCGGTACCTGAATCTAGCAACAAGCATGATCCTGGGCCTTCAACAAGCTCATTAAATCCTTCCGGTATTTTAAAATTTATTTAATTTTTGTTGCTATATTTAACGGGAATGCCTCAATGGTTTTTTATTATTATACTGACATTCATTTTAGAATTTCCAATTTTTTATTTAGTTTAATTAATTTTTTTTATTTTATAGCAAAGGAATTCAAACCTTATAATGATCATTTATCTCACTATCAGTGTAAGTATTATTTAGTGTTATAAAACTAGGAATACCTAATTTACCAATTTTTATATTTCCCTTTATAAAAATTAGTACCTATTCAAAACCGTCTGCCAAAAATTTAAAAGAGAAGCGTTTCTGGTATGGTGCTTTGGAATCAAGTCTTTTAACTGTTGACTAACTAATAATTCAAATCATCTAATAATTCAAATCCTTGTAGAATATCAAAAAATAGGAAAAATCAAGTTCTGATTGAATTATTGAAACCCACCATTAAAATTAAATAAAGAAGATTTAATTTTTTAATTTGATTAAATTTTCCACATTTGACAGTTGACGATCCCTACTTCCAGCAATTTTTACCTCAAAACATTACGCCAACTGGAAGCTGTGATTTTGATAAATATTTTCCAACATTTTCACACAATATAGATCCTGAGGGAATAGACTTCCCAGCTTATGATGGACGTGTTTTTAATACAGGTTTTTGGGGTGTTACAAATGAGAGTGAAAATAATATGAATCAACCTGAAAAACGATTTATTACTGATTTCGATCCTGAAGGGATTATTTATAATATATCAAATCATTTTAATGAGTTTGGATGGCCTGAAGACGAGAAATTTTTATCTGATTATAAAGTTAGTTAAATAGATTATTATAATCCATGAGGCTTTAAATTATTTTAACTTTTATTAATAGATGAATCGGTTTGTCCCGTTTCTATGTGCCTCGTTAAGGAATTGAGTGTATAACCTGAGAATCTGAGGGTATATGTATGTAGAGAAATTGTGGTATCATAGTGAGGTTATAAGCAGAGTCGAGCGTTTTGAAATCATGAGTGAACTCCGCTGAGTATAGAAAATAGGTGAATAGCAGGGGTGAGTTTTTTAAGCTCAATGGGGAAGCCCCCTTGATTTGGAGGGGTATGGAAGACCTATGATATCACATTTGATTTTTGCATTGTACCTCGTCCCAGCCCAATTTTTCTGCTCGTACTAATGCTTCGTACCAAATCGAGATACGACTACTATTGAATTTTTGTACGAGCGTGAAGCTCTGCTTATAAATTCTAGTAACGTCTTTTTTGGCGAGAATTCTAAATAGGACTGAGACTTCTGAATAGAGCGATGATTTCAATTCGTGTGTCTTTAGAGTTGATTCCGGTCTTGAAATAGTATTCAGCCTTGAAATAGTAAACTTAATAATTTTAAAATTATTATATGAAATAAATTAAATTTATAAAAATTATAATTTTTAAGTATTTGATGGGCATCAATTTCTTATCAGAAAAAGCAAATTGGATTCTAGAAATTGTTTCACATAAAAATAAACTAAAAGAAGGCAAAGTAACAGAAAAATATGAAAAGTTTGGACATTATTTTGATAAAAAAATGTTAAAGACATTTGAACTGCTTGATAGATATGCGAGGTTTATTTAATTAAATCAAAACAGAATAGCTTGATAAAGTGACACCTTGGATTAATTAAGTCTCACGATGAAAATCTCACTGTTTACTGACTATGATTTACCCATAAAATAACTCTAGATTGATCATTATTTATGCTTGAATTTATTTTTAGTTGTGTTGCTAAATGGCATAAGAGGAATATTATAACAATCACAGGTCCAATATCAGTACTTGTTTCAGAAAAAATTGAAAAGAAGGGAAGTGTTAAGAGTTATCCGGTATGGGTTTATTTATTTTAACATAGTAATTTAATTTTCCATGGCCTGATTCCTCTGAACTTTGACACACAGGACTCGTTCATTAACGATTCCTGTATTTTCTTAACGGACAGACCCTTAATTATGTATCTCAGTACTACAATCACATTCGGTCATCAAAATTAATTAAAAGATTTTTACTTATTTTTATAATTTATTATTTAAGTTCAACAATGAAGTAAAGCATCCTCCAATAAACCAAATTTTCAAAGTTGTTATTATTGAATATGAAAGTAAAAAATATTGCGCTGATCTAATTTTTACTAATGCATTTTGGAATGAAGATACAAAATTTGAAGAAATTTCTAAAGAAAATTGTGGAAAAGATCATTTAAAGAGTAATTGGGACTACAAAAATTATATTAAAGATTCTAAAATTATGGGAGAATTATTCAAAGATAAATTGGAATTTTTAGAATGGTATATTGGATTTGAGTTGATTGATTTGTTGCATAATTTTGGATTTGTTAAGATAGAGAGCATAGGTAAATTTAATACAATATAATAATTAAACAGAATTTCATTTTCTCCTTTTTTTGATCTCCTTCCAAATCGCGTTCTATCGGAGAAGGCCGTTTAACAAGAAAATATAGGAAATTTTTTTCCTACACAACTTTTGCATAAATATATTGTTTCACTTATCTTTTCGGTAATTCATATCGGGATTGGCAAATCTGGATTGGCTTTCGGTATCGGGATTGGCAAAATCAGGATCGGGATTCAACAAACCGGGAAACCAAATCGTGATCCCGATCGCTACCAATTATAGGAAGTAGGCAAGGCTTGCTTTAATATTACTCGTTAATACGCTTGACCCATTCACAATTGTCGAGTTTGTTTCGAATTTTTAGTATTCTTAGAAAATCCTTTTTGCATGAAATCCAAAATGAATTAAATGCTTAAGATTTAAATTAAGTAATGACTCCTCGATTGCCTAACTTAAGGTCTACAAATTATTTTGTATCCTATAAGTTTTAAGTATCAGTCTCGGGTTTAGTCTGATTTTTTAAGGAAAAGTTTTAGCCTTGAACAAATCAAAATATAAAGTTTCCAAGTTTTTATAAAATCTAAATAAATTATAGATATTTGTGATAATAGCAAATTATTTAAAGCAGCGGAGCCAATCTCAAAAAATAAGTTTAAAAAATATAAAAATGAATTATATCCTCCAACAGTTTCAAAAAAATTTAAAGATAACAAATTAAGCAATATAACGGAGGCAAATAGCGAAAAATATAGAAAATCGAATATTCGAATATATAAAGTCTGTTAAATTTAAATATTTAATTAATCGTGTTTCTGATAATTATTGTTTCATTCCATGTTTTTTGTGTTTGAGAGGAATCTTCCTTAAAAGAGCAATTTCGAGTATCACTTTTGAATGATCTATAATTCAAAAAATCAAATTTTTCACCTCAAAATTGAGCTTAGCGAGAGAAATTTTCAGAAAAATGGGAGAAGCTTTTCGAAAAAATTTTAAATTCCATAATTAATAAAAAAAATTAAGGATTTTATCATAAACTTTAATAGAAAGAAGAGAATACCAAATTGGGTTTTGGAATATTTAATGAAGGAAAGTATGAATAATTTAACTGGAGAAAAATTTAGGTGGTCAGATGATCCAAACTTTTCGGAAATATTCCAGTCAACATATAATGATTATGAGTGTCATCCGGTTTAATCAAATCTTTTTCCCCTAAATTTTGTAAATTAAGAATTCTATATATAATCATGGCCATCTAGCAACGGGAAATTTACATCCACACAAGCAAGGCTTTTACCTTACAAATTCAGTGCCACAATACAATGAAGTTAACAGTGGACATTGGAGGGTTATTGAAGAATACATTAGGTAACTAATTCTAATTTTGTTTAGTATAACCATTTATGTAAAACGAACTTTTTTATGAACCGACCTAGTATAACTATCTTTGAGCCTCCATTGTCTTTTAAAAGTATAATATAACTAAAGTAGGATCTCACTGTGCGTATCTCCTATAGTGAATCCTGGTTTAATTTAGTGAAATTCTATAATTATAAATTTTAAAATATCAAGCATATATAGCGATAATTGCTATAATAATGAAGAGCAGATTCATATCTTTATGGTGATTAATAAGGATAGAAGATATTTGTAAAAAAGTTAATTTAAATAAAGGTGTATTAAATATTTTTTAAGTTGTATGGCAAAAGTAGCAGAAGAAACATTTATTTATACAGGACCATTATTTTTGCCAAATAAAGAAAAAAATTTAATGGAATTTCTAGTAATTTATTGAAATTTAATATTAGATAGTCAATTATATTTTAAATATTAGGTTATCGGTCCAAAAGAAATTTATGTACCTACACATTTGTTCAAAATTGTTATCCTTAAAATATTCGATAATTCTAAATGGAAGTATTGGATGGAATCTTACGTAATGACGAACACAGATTTAAATGAGCTATTTGACGTAAAAAATGGTATTTTTTAGATAGAGATCTTTTTGCTCTATTTTGGAGGCAAGGTTCTAAGAAGCAACCAAACTAAGAATAATCTATCCTAATACACAGACCCTTTATTCCTAAATTTGTTTAAAAACTTAAGAAGATCAAATTTTTTATATATTAAAATTCGACAAAATTAGGGCCGTTGACCTAAAATTCATTTATATTAATTTTCAGAAGAAACAAGGAAATTCGTTCCTGATGGATCGCCAGAAATTGTTCATAATTGCCGAAAGATACCATATTTCCTTGAATATGTGGAGGAGATAAAAAAATACACAGAGAATAATTTTCCAAGACATATAGTCAATTTACTAAAATATTATAGAAAACCATATAAATTTATTGAAGAAAATAGTGACTTTCGATTGTTAACTTTGTTAAGTGAAAATATAAAAGAGATAAAGGATGGTGTTCTTTTTGATATGGAAATTGAGGATAACAAGCCTGTTAATACTTCAGAAGATTTATTATTAAATAATAGTGAAACCATAAAGGATAACGTCGATAAAATTGATATAGGCGGGTTCCAGATTGAAAATAAAAAATCCAAAAAGAAAAAAAGTAAACAAAAAAATAAGGATTTAAAAATTGAAGAACCTGCAGAGAATATTGATAAAGAAACTACAAATTTAAAGATGGAGTTGGTAGAAAAAAATTTAATAGAAAACCCGAAGGTTTCCTTTAATATTAGTATGTATTATAGTAATTATTTTAGATTGAAGATGATCAACAACAATTAGTTCTCGATTATAAAAAAGAAGAATGGCAGGAATCGTCAAGAAAAAAGAAGAAAAAGGGCAAAAAATAAAATTAAAAAAATAATTTCTGATATAGAGGAAAATATAGAAGATAAAAATAAGGAATCTAGGATTAATGAAGATGAAGACAGTTTGAAAGAACAATATCTAAATAAACTAATAATTACTAAGGATAATTTGCCATTAACACAATCAGAGGATTTAAAGGTATGAATGAATATTTGTATTATAACTAAACGTATTTATATTCACCAAATAAACAATTCAGCTAATTAGTTCGTTGCCGAAAGAGATAAACATGAAACATTAGTTAATAGATTTACTCTTATATTAAGGTGAAAAGGATTAATTGAAACTATTTATAAAGGAGTTGTTTAAAAGAAAGAATTCTAAATTAACAAGCACACTCGTGTATGCTTCTTTGTCGAAAGTTAAGATTCTTAGCGAATTAATATTAAATTAAAACAAGAAGGAAATATGTAAAATTTTTAGGAACTGCATGAAACCGAAAATTTATCAAATGAAACTAAATCTGTTGATAGTAAAAAAGCTGACAAAAGAAAGAAAAAGAAGAATAAAGGAAAATCAAAAATAAAAGAAGAAGATAATAATAAAAAGAAAAATAAGCAGAAAGATTTGGAAGATATAAAGTTTTTAAATGACATTATAA